CAAAATGTATTTCTACACAACTAGGTTTTGCTTTTTTGCAGTACCTAATACATGTAAACACTTAACCTGTAACGAATTAATAGTTTTTGGAGTAAGTGGATGGTATTTTATGCAGTCAGCAGATGGTAAAGATCATTACCATCTCAGTAACCATTCCTAATCAACAAATCATAATCTTGAACAATTGTAGGTGACCTTGGCTATTCTGAGAAATGTTGTTTCTGCATCAATACCTTTTTTGATTTATAAAAACCCTTCTTGTTTAGGTTTTCTTGCTGAGGGTAATCGGGGAGTTTGAGGCTCACACGTTAAAATTTCTGTGCTGCTTAAAGGTGGTCTGTTTGTATTTTTTCTTTAGAAAAATCGGAATGAAACTCCATTTGGTGAGAAGGCTCCATGACTTTAGTCCTATGGTAACTCTATACTCCAAACACCTAATGCAGAGACATTATTCTGGCTTTTAGCAGATAAAGTGAATTTTGTTCTTAGTAAATACGGCCCAGGTGCTAAAAAGCTATAGCTGAAAGTGCTAGGTTAAAAGCACAAGTCAGCTAGGTACATAAATATTACATAGCTATATCTTTAATGGGTTCCTGTCGTAGACTTGCTTTGTTTAAAGATTTCCATAACCCTGCTGATTTATTACGTCTTTTCTAGAAGTATGCTGTTAGCAGGAAACTCGGTTGAAGCACTTTCAATCATGTTGGAGGATCATTATACTTTCACTTGAATAACTAATTAGTTGCAAGAAATTAACCACTGCTGTTTAGCACAAAAACACTTCCAAGAAGGGCTTTCATTTTTGTTGTGGAAAATGACCTCAGGCACTTGAGGAGGTGGGCAGAAGGGCGAAATAATGATCCTGCTGTCTTTTAATATAACTTTTGTTTTCAGTTCAACCTGATAACTAGCAGGCAGCATAGCTGTCTGAATAGAACACTGCACTTGGACTTGGGATAAATATGTTCGAATCTTGCCGGTCCCATGGATCTGATGGCTGACCTCATCCCATTGATTTAAACTGGTTTAAGGTTCCAAATACTGTCCCTAAAGGCTGTGGGAGACAGAGGAAGAAATAAATTAGCGAATAGGATGGAAGGAAGAATATAATATGACCAAATAAAGGATATGGCCTGTTCATGTCTCTGGAACCTATTTTTCTTGTTGTAAAGTGTGGATCACACGTAATTGGCATATGAGGGTCCAGTCTGAATGTCTTGCATAAGAGCTCAATATTATTGTCATATGCTGTTCATAGCACTGCTAATATAATGTAAGACACAGTGAAGTGAGGAAAAAGAATGAAAACAGCTAAAATACTTAGCCATTTGCTCCACCTCTCCTAGGGCAAAAACTGGAAGGAAATTGGAGACAAATGGTTTCTGAGATCTCAATTCTTCTCTAATATATGAAATCCTTTTAATGAGGCAATAATAGTGACAAATACTGGTCATTTTTTTCTATGGAACTGCAATTTCACCCACACTATTTGAAAAATTTACATATAAAATATATTTTTAAAGTATGAAATAAAAAAATAACTTTTGCTGCTTATGCAAATCAATCATCTCCTTGCAGTCTTCTCATTCCTCTATTGCAGAGGCAGTGAATTCTTCAAGTATTTGGTGAAAAATATTGTCCAGTAATGAGGGCAAAGGGGGAGGGGAAGCTTATGGGTATTTCTTGCTCTCACCTTCCTTCTCTCTGCTCACGCTTGCAAAATTAGAAAGTTAAGTCCTCAATATGTGTATCTGAGATGTGGTGATACATAAATGCTGGGAATTATTCAGTGCAAAAAGGGAGTGGGCTACTGTAGTCATGACAAACTCCTCCTGAATATCCAAAATAAGGGTAGCACTACCCCATTCCTATAATATTTTTAACACTTTTTCCCTCTCTTCTGTTCTTTGCCTTCTTTCTAAGGCTTAATCTCAGGCACCTATTTTGGGTTCCTGATGTTAGGATCAGAATTGCATTCAGCTGTTTATATTTGGTTACCTGCATAGTATATGTGTCTTCTGATAATATTCGCACAAACCCAGTACTTGCTGGATGTGGGTTTTTCCTTTGTTTTTGGCTAAGTTTACAACATATTTTATTTGTATATGAGAATACAGGAGAGGAAGGTCATGTCTGACCTTTTTTGTGGGGGAAGTTTGCATATGTGCATGCCAGGAAAACTAACTTTATGTAGAAGAAAAAAGCAGAGCTGCCTTCTAGAAAGAGGGCACGACCAATGACATAACATCTTCAATCAAACTCATGATATCATTTAACTTAAAGAGCTATGGGGCAGACAATTTCAGATTGGGCACGCTGCCACTAAAACAAATTGGCACAAGAGCTTTTTCTGTGATGTGTGTATTTACACATGTCCAAGTCTGCTTCGGGATGGTTGTGCATAAGAGCTCATTAGGAAAAAGGCAGGGAGAAGGGCTTAGTGAAAGTTCTTTACTACTTTCTAGAAAACTACCTACTAGGTTTTCTAAAACAGTACGTTACCCTGAAACTTCATGCAGGGTATTTCAAAAGGACCGAGGGATTATTAAAGACCCCTTCCCTTGACACTCAGTCGAATTTCTACTAAAATTTCCAGTGCTTTTTTGTGCACCACTGAAAAGTTCAATCTGAGTGCTAGAATATCACAGAAATGTGTTAAATTCAATGCAATGTATCTTTCAGATTAATATTACGCAATAGCCTAAGATTATTTAGTTCTGGTACCTTTGGCTCATCCAAACTATGTAGACACACGTTATAGTAATTATGATTGAATAACATGTGACTTAATATAAAACCATTAACAGACATCCAACTTATAGGCTGTTGACAGTTGTCTCAATTTTCCTTTCTGAAAATGGACATGTTCTCTGGTTTGCTCCCATTAACTAATTTTGTTTTACTTGCTCTTCCATTTCAGTCTGTAACTGTTCAATGAACTTAATCTGTCTTCAGATAACAGGTGCTGACTTCGAGTGTAGTTTCGAACTTCAGTTTGGCCTTCTGCCTGCAGTTCAGATTGAGTTCATTTGAGTTCTTACTCAGATCTAAATCCTGAAATTCCTTCCCACTTGGATACTCTTGTTAGTGCCACACCAAATATTGACTTTCTAATGTTCAGACATCAGCTGTTCCTACGCTGTGGAAAATATATGGTCCTTCATAGTCTTGTATAATCAAAAAATGAAAAAAATGTAGTCTAAAAAAACCTAAATATCTAGGGAGAAGAGAATGTAAGACTGCTTTAAAAGAAAAACCTTTGAAATACAATTAAAAGAAATAGGCAGCTATTTGTTTGCTCCCTTGCGTTTACATTTCAGTTATTGGATGAGATTACAAAACACAAATGCTGATCGTGAATGAATCAACAGCAGTATAACCCTTTACTGAGAAAAGGTGTCTATACAGACTGAATATGTTAAGCCAAGACAAGACACTGAGGTACAGGCAGAGAAATACCACTTTAAGTGCATTATAGGGTAAAGCATGTAACTATGTTCCATTTTTTCCATTAGGAAACTTCTATGCAGTGGTTGTATGTAAACATAGCTAATTTTGTATTTCACTATCTGTGTATGCACGCAGTTGAAAAGACCAAGTAAATGAGAAAGGGAGTTGGGTTGGCCATGCATTTGAGAATCCTTGCTTTGCTTTGGCCTATACTGAGTAAACCAAATGCGAAGGAATTAGATGTTGAAGTGTGTTCCAGGTGATTTCAGACAAATGGAAAGAAAGTTTCACTGTGCAAATTGAAAAAAGATTCCAAATTGGAGAGCATGCTTGGTTTTGGCTGGTGTAGTCCAGTAAACTTTTTTTGCTCTTTCCTCTTCTAGTAAGGATATAAATCAACCTTATTTGTAGTCTTTTCTAGCTTCCCAAGGTGTAAGGTCTTTATGCTAATGAGTAAATATGTTTCTGCAGAATTTTATAATGCACAATCATTCAAAATTTGTGCATCACATCAATTGGTTCCATTTTGCTGTTCAGCAACAAAACATGGCTGCTTTTCTCAAATGGTCAGCAATTTTCCATACAGACCTGGTGGTGATGAGTTGGGATGTATATAGTTCAAAACTCCTTGTACACATAGTGAATGAGTATAAATTCACTTTCTTTATAATTACAAAAACTCATTGGAGTTTTACAATTCTGAGTGGAAACAGGGATAGTTTTATGGGTCAAAGAAACCCTGTACTTTGCAGATTATACTGTTCCATGAAATGAGAAGTAACAGTCTTTCTTGAGTTATGGCTTCTTTGTGCCTAATGTGTTTGATATATATTATAGATGCTTGTCAGAGATGCATAGTCAGAAGCTGAATGTTGAACAGGGTGTGCATTCCATTGGCTCTGGCATTCTGCCCAGGTTCCCCCCCCCATCCTTATTTAAAAAAAAAAAAAAAAAAAAAAAAGGAAAAATTCTAAATTGAAATATCTTGGGGCTTAAGACCTACTCTTTCTCATTCCTTCTTGTGATGGTTTGAGCCTTTGTATAGCTCTAGTATTGCCTATTCAATCAGCATCTTTGAAAAGTACCTACCAGGCTGCCAGATTCCTGATGCAGAGAAGCTAGATGGTGCCAGAAATCAGTCACTCCGTGCTAAATATTGCTGCTGGCTCCACTCCCTGTCTTTCAGAGTCTGCAGAAGTCTAATCTTCTGTTCTTTGGTGAGAGGATGGCAGGTTTTAAAAACGCCATCTGAAGTTGCTGTTACATAAGAAGTGTCTTGCCATCTTGCACGAATAAGGAGTTAAACTGGTCTCTGGTCTCAGGTGGTTGCAAGGTCCTATTTTTTTTTCCCCATTGATGTTTTCTATTACATGGAATGTCTTTATGGTCAGCTGCTGTGGTATTTGTCATTCTGTTCTTTACTTGCCAAGACTTAAGCTTAGTGAATTTAGATATTTTTCTATTTTAAACAAAGTGTTTTGCTGCCTATTAAGCCTAAACATCTACATCAAACTGCCTTGCACTGCAAAGAAAATCAACCAGCAGAGTACCTGTAAAGCAGTCCAGCTGCCCCGAGCTTTCACCACCCAGATGATGTTTGTACAGAGCTGGCATACTGAAAATTAAAATGGTGTAGTATCAAAACTAAAATCAGTAAAAGTAATGCTGAAGCTAATGTGCAAACAAATTCTTTCACAACTGTAAATGCATCTTCATGGTATTTCCAGTTTATATAGCATCCAGGGGCCTTTCCAAAAATACCAAATCCATTTGATTGCATAATAAAGAATAGAACGACTTTTCCAATCATGCTTACCATATGCAAATAATTTCTAGGAGGAATTTAAAACAATCATTACAAAATTAGCCTAGTGTGTAAACCCGATCAAGCTGCATTATTTTGCTTAAATGCATTCCACAGCTGGCTTAGGTGCTTGTCTACCACACAGTACCTAAATTCAAAATCTGAATCCTCAAAACACCCTATTTTGTGTTTGTCTCGCGATGGAGGTGTCCATAGTCCCTGGCTACCAAAGTATCTGCCAGATGAACTCCCTGTTGCTTAGGCCAGGCTGGCGCTGAGCACTGCTATGCAGAAGTGCCCTGCTGGCTTCACTTCAGCATGTCTTGCACAACAGGCTAAAAGAGCATGAGGTTCCTTTCCCCTGTGCTTTCGGCTCCTATGAGCAGTCATTGGAGCAATTCCTAAGGATGAGGGAGGTTGGTGTCTCAGTTACCAAGCTGTAGCTGGGAATATTCTCTATTGCAAATTCAATATTTAAATGTTCCTTGCAAGTTGTGAAAACTGATTGAGGAGGCATTTGAGAGCATCGCTCAGAGTAGCTGGTCATAGGTAGCAGGGAGATTTGGGTTCAAAATCCGATTGGTAAAGCAGGTCTTCCATGCCCTGGGTGGGTAAGATATTCCTTGAGGAAGGTGGCAGTGAAAGTGCCTGCTCCTTTGTCAGTTGGGAGAGGAGTGTTTTCAGGGCCAACCTCCAGGAGAGAGTTCCTGGTCATTGTGCTATAAAGGCAGCAACATTAAACCTAGAGTTTCAAGGCTGCAGTTCTAGGCCTGTGACTCCCTATTCCCCCACCTAATTTAGGAGCACTCTCTTCAACCTGCGGACTTCTGAGAGTCCTGTTATATGTGTAGTTCTTTAAGCAATATCTATAGCTGCCTAGATATAAATCTCTATCGGTATTTTGGGTATAGAAGCTTAGATAACTCAATATTTATTATTTCTATAACTTCAGTCCTTTGCTTGCTCTAACTTATCTTCATGGCTTCCCTTACCCCCTGCCCTTCCCAATTAGGAAATGGATGTAATGATTGTGAGTTTTGCTTGACTTTTATTCTTAACTAAGAAGCTAATATATTCATTGCTGGATGTTCTGCTTTCTTTTTAGGCCTAACTTGATTTTGCTCCTTCTGCTGCAGTGACAGCTCCTGGGTGATGTGTGACACAGCACAGCCAAGAAATCTGTATTCGGGATGCATTTTCTCCAGTTGGATAGCTCTCCAGAAAGAGGTTTAGCAGGTAAACCAGACCCACAAAGTCTGTTTCCATTATCAAAGGGTTTAGTGTCAACTGCTAATTCTAGACACATAATGTATGAACCCAGTATATATGCATATCACTTAAAATGTTAACATACGAATTTGAGGGCTTAAGAAGGATCTTCAGAATGCAGATTAGCTTTTAACTCAGCCACACTAAAAGTAAACCTGAGAAGATAAAAGAAAATATTCGTATCTACCAAACTGCAGAGTTTATTTCTATTGGTTAGTCTGCCAGCAAGTAGTTGGATGGCCCAGATGAAAACTGAAGGTTTATTATATCTTACAAGTTCTTGGGAAAGAGCTCTGAGAGAGATTTCTTGGTTTAGGATCTCTAATATGGAGAATTACTAGTGGGAGCAACCTATAACCTTCAAGGCACTTTTTCTCCTGTGTGTGTTTTAAAAAAAAAAAAAGCAAACCCAAAACACCAAAAAAACAAAATCAAAACCTACAAACTTCGATAACTTCTATTTTGATGTTAAGATCCACCTTCAATGTATGTGAGTCTTAAGCCCTGCTTATCTGCAAAGCTGAACCTTAAAAAGTTCTATGCAGTTCTCTTCTACTCTGAGTATGCCAACTAGAGTCTGTCTTTAAAAGGGGGGTTTTATTTTTTAGATGGGGATTTTCTAAGAAGGGGTTTTCTTTTTCAATTGACTTTGGAAGGAGTTAACTGCGTTTTGAGCTTCCTTATCCATGTTCTACCTGATTATGTTGTTAGACTCCGTTATTACTGAAACTTTATGCTGATGTTTTTGGTTTATTATTCAGAAGACCAAGTAGTAAAAAATAATCTAGTTACTTCTCTCTAGATGCCTATGGAGATACTTGGAAAAACTAATTGTAAAAATGTGTTATGGTATGAATCTTGCTGACTTTCATTTGATTTTTTTCATTCGTTAATTTGAGACAATGAAGGAGAACAAATGTTGCTTATGTAAAATGAGACTGGGTGCAGAAACATGGAAAACGTGCCTATTCTTGTGAGAGGTGTGGTGTGCAATAGCTTATGATGCGGTGCAGTTGAAGAGCTGTTATGACTTAAGATGGATCCTGCCTAATACAGGTCTGGTAGAGCTACTGTTTCTGCTAATGTATTTCTTCCTTTCACCTTCCCTGCTGTTTTTACCACCACTGCAGCACTGTCCTACATTTTCATTTCTTGGGGAGGAAGAGTTTATGGGGGAATACTAGTTGGCAACTGAAGCGTGCTTCCAGCTGGACTCTAATGATAACTCAGAAATATGTTGGGATAAGGGAAATAATAGCTTATGATGTGAACTGTGGCAATGTAGATTGCATCACAAGGGTTTATGTGTCTGTGGCTTATGACAAATTGGTAATTATAAACTGAAGATAACTTGGTGCACTGTTTAAATAATTTCTTGTTAAACTTGTCACAGATATTCACTTGAGATGTGATTCTATTTAGGTTTGGCTTTTTCATCATACTGTATTCATATAGTTTCTTAGTCTTCTTATGTTTGGAAAAAAAAAATAATCAGAAAGCTTGTCCTAGATCAGGCAATAGAGGCATTTTTTTTAAGGACCAGAATGCAGGCACAGATGTTTCTATGGGTTTGGGAAGTCTTTCGGGGATTGTTTTTTGTTTCTTTCCTCCTGAAGTATGGCACTCCACATTTTTTTCAAATCAGACTTGGGTATTTAATGAAAAGTGAATATTTTAACTGCCAGGTATGTGATTAAAAATGTGTCAAAATTTACAGTTTAAAAAGAGGTCTCTGGATGAGCTCAGCTAAATAGTTCACAGATTATGCTAATTCATGTTCACTCTAGAGAGAGTATCTATGGCAAATTATCTGATTATAAAAGTAATTATTAAACTGATATGGAAGCTCTCTCTACTGTGGTAGCTTAAATTTTATTCTAATTCATTTGGTTTTCGTATCACTAAATCTACAGTGCTACTTAAAAATCACAGGTTTGGTAGCCCAGCTACAAGTTTCTCTACAGCCCTATGCATTTGAGTGATGATAAGCAGTGAAAAGCCCAGAGTGGACAGATAGTTTCTATTTCATTATCCCCTTCAGGCCCATCACATGTCTCTGGATATAGGTGTTTGCTACTTGACTATGCAAGGCAGTGATTGAATATGTATGGATGGACTTCTGAATACACAAATTAGGTATTTCAGACAGTAGTGCTACTCTTGCATGCAAGTTGAAAAATGGAAGACAAGGAATTTATTTAGAGGAAACAGGCCAAATGGAAGCATGTAAACATGACTACATGTAAGCAGATCTGGATAAAGGGGAATCTTGTGAGACATAAGCATAATAGACTTTTTTGATGGCAAAGAGTGAAAAAGGATTTTACAGCATCAAATATTTCCGTCTGTTTGCTGGACCTCCCAGAGCAAAAACTTTCTATGTAGTTCAGAGGCAAAGGCTTGTTTCCATCAGCACTCCATAAATAATATCTGCTTGAAAATGTACAGACTTAAGTGTTTAATTTTGTGTCTTCCTATACAAGTATTGCAGATTACATGTATCGGAGAAGTAGTATACCTATTTAATTTTGATACATCCTAAATAGAATAATAAATGGTATTTTTCTTGGATTTAAAAAGCAAGAAGATATGAAAATACGTATATAACAAGGTATAAAATGGAATGTATTTAATCATTAATATCCCTGACAATCATGGAAATATATAGTCCATTGAGACTTGTGATTCATAAGAAGGGATACAGAGGGTGCAGATCATTCTCACTTAGTTTTAGTTTGTATTTAAATGTGCAGTCCTCTCCCTATTTGGTCACAATAATCAGTGAATATCTATGAGGTCAACAGGGACGTACCAGTAAGTTTAAAAATGGTCCTGATTTTCCAGTTCAGAGCAGAGATTAAGGGGCATGTATTCTAATGTTTCCCCAGTAAGCTCTTTCATTTTATACCTGAAACACAAATTACAGCCTGCTAGGGGTCAAGCATGAATTAAATCTTTGGCATGTAATAGCATACCTTTCCAGGCAGATGTCTGAAGAGAATACCTAGTATTTTTACCCTTATTTAAGAGCTAGAGACCAAAATCTTTATTGAAGCAACTAAAGGAATCAAACTATTCAGATCTCCAGTTCTTAAGTAATCAGATCTAGCATCTTTTAACAGATACTTTTGCAGGGTTGTCATATTCACTTAAAAACAGTGAGTTGTTTCAGGGGTAGCTTTGGGCTAAACAGTGTGTCTTCTGAGTAGATTTCCAAAAGGGACTAATGTTACTTTACTTTGCTCTCAATTAAGTTTAATGGGAATGTTTATGCTGACATTTAGATTTGAATTTAGGAAAGGCTAATTACTTCTGTGCAAGGACGGTGTTCAGATTAAATCATCAGAACCAAACCATCAGTACTTGGAATGAATCGAATCCAGGCCAACTGTACCAACTTCTGAAGAGACTTTGAGGGAGTTATAGCTAATGATGTTAATTTAAAAGAAACTAAATGTTAGTACGTCATTGATGACTGGTCAGATTAAAATGATGCAAAAACTAAAAGTATTTTCAAAGGATAATCTATGACTAGATTCAGTGATCATTGCTGTCATTTCATGTATGGTTACATAGTGGTCTAGACTAAATTGAGAGCATTTACCAGGAGTTACCACGGGGTAGTATCTGACATACCGCAGCTATTTCTTTTTACAAAGGAGACCATAAGTCATGAAGAACAGTTAAATACTGTAGCTAAAATGTAGATATTCTTCCCCTTTAGTCATTGTCTGATGATTGCCTATATGTGGAGTTGTTATTTAATAAGTGTTTAAAATTTTACCTCAGATTATTACTGACATGTCAGCAGAGGCTGGTATCTCCATTCTTGGTGATTTTTAAAGATTGATTGGAGAAGACCCCCGGCACAAAATAATGCCAGGTTTTGCTCTGGTTTGACCAGGACACTGGACCTAGGTGAAGTATTGAGATCCTTTCTGACCTCACTTACTTCAGGAGTCTCTCTGATTTTGGTTATTCTGAGTATATATTGATGAGGCTTGATAGAACTGCTTCAGAGGTACTTCCATTGGTAAAATTACTTCAGACATCTCAAGATTTTAAGGTAGATCTACTTCTACATGGTTTTTGTCAGCTATTTGAGAATAACTTGTATATCTGAAGGATGCTCTGAGCTTTCTGTTCTAAAGGTCAGGAATAATAAATACATCTTTTTGACTATTGACACTTTAGAAAAAAATTACATTTGGGATCTTCATACGTGTACATATTTTTCTCCAATGCCTGCAGTGTGGTGAGCCTTTTGTTGCAGTTGTTTGACTGTGAGAAGGGATGAGTGAATAGCTGGGGGGAGTTGTGTTTTGCTTTCATTTGGCTATCCAATGCCAAATTGTAGTAGCTCAGGATGATGTTCAAAATGGAGTGTAGGGGGAGATAAAAGACATTACATGGGAGGGAAAAATAAAAGAAATTAAAAAGCTAGGTCACTCTTAAAATACTACTTTCATTTAAGAAAAAATTAAAATAATTTCTACATTTCAAAAGAAAATTGTAGGCTGATTTTTTTTTTTCTATTCACTCCCTTCCTGCCCAGTGGAAGCAAATCTAAAAGTTTAATTAAATTGTTGAATAAGTTCACTTTTCCTATATAGTTTTGGCAAGTTTAGAACATGCTCAAAAGCCTTCATGGATTCCTGGGATTTGGCTCTTCTGAATTGAGACTATGCCTTTAACTTTAACAAGCAAAAATCACTATTCTGCATATGGCAATAGAAATAAGAAATAAGCCAATATAGAAGAAAACTACCTGAGTGTATTTTAATAATGTAATTTGTTTTTTTTCTTAGTGTTAATACTTTCAAACTCTAACTTCACTAACCTGAGGGTCTGAGTGTTCAGACTGATGAACTGAATGTACTTTACATTGCAGAAAATAAGAAATCATGAAATCTTAAATTCTTCCTTAAATAGATAAATCCTTTCATCTTAAGTGGAGCTGGCTGTTGAGGGCTGTAAGGACCAGACCCCCCTGTGCTCTACCCCCCCAAGCAGATTTGTGACTGAAACAGCTTCTTGGGGGGGGGGGGGGGGGGGGGGTTGAGATGAAAAAAAAAAAAGCTTTACATGCAGGCCAAAAATCTCAATTCAGTACCTAGCTCTGTTAGTGACTTCGTATGACTTAGTTTAATTTGTTAGAATAATTTAGAAAAATAAATGTCTCGGATTTTGTCATGCAATCGTTTAGAAATTTTAATACATTATCTCTTAACATGCCATCAATGTGCAAATTGTTATTTAATCAGTATTTGTTATTGTGAATAACTGTATATATGCAGAGATCAACAAATACCTGCTTCTGGAAAACAGTGAAACAGTGTTTCAGTATATCTGGAATATTTTACTGAAAGTCGGAACAAAAAACACCTCCTATTTAAAAAAAAAAAAAAATAAAAAATTCCACCTGATATCGTTTAGAAGTTAATTTGTTTAAAACACATTATTTCTATCTGACTCTCTAACCGTATCCTATGTGTTCATTTTTAATTCTCCATGAATGTTTTTTAATCTGGCTCTGTACTATTTGTGCCTCTAAAATTTCATTGGTGTAAACAGGGGTCTTTGCAGTGTGATAAATGAACTGTTGCAGCTGTCTGAGTAAGAAATTTCAGTGAAGTCTAAAGATGGACTTGTCTCTTGCATCTATTCTTTGGCAGAGAAAGAGGGTAATTGACGAGAAGTACAGTAAATGAAAGAACAGTTAAAACACAGACACACTGACATTATAATACAGTGTCTCATCGGGTGATGTGGTGTTTTGACTACACGGCTGCAGCAGGTCTATAATTTAAATGCCATTAATGGCACAAAAAGCAATAGCATGGAGACAGGAATACTGTAAAATCTCTGGGTCTGTGCTTACAATGCAGATAAAATAGCCCTTTGAACTTGTGATGCCAAATGTTGTCCCAAGTTACCATTCTTTCACAAGGAAAGCAGTTTTTGTTTTTGTGGTGTTTTACTTCTTCCCTTCCTCCTAGCACAGACAGACATTTTCTGTTTGGATCGCTTGGCTTGTGTCACTACAAAGATCCCAGGCAAAGGGAGGCTACTCGTGTTTTGCCTAACTCATGTCCCGTTCACACATTCAGTACAGAATCCGCTATTGTGATTAGTCATGACTATGTTTTCTTTGTCCTCGTTGGCTTTTGAATATACTTCTTTATACTTTTACTATAGTAGTACACAGAACTAATTTCATCAAAAGCTATGGTGTTTAGCTGTAAGAGTTACACATCATCCCGTGACTACATCCTATTTATATCTCATTTGTTTCCTGTTGCCTGTTGTAATGTTCTCTGCCTTTTAGACTTGTTTTCCTTTCCCTTACTTTCCTTTTTTCTTGTTCTGTTTTTATCTCCATTTTAAATTATAACTGACTTTGTTTTGCTTATTCAACTTAACTTGTGGGTAAGCTCATGTTTCTGTACCCTCACAGAAGCCAAATATTTAATGCACCTTAGTGTAATGTATGCTGTAATTGTTTGCCAAATTGGAGTGAGTCTTTCCAGAAACAGTTCCTGATCTTTGAGAACTTTGCAAAATGTGTACAATATGTTAATTGTGAGGCTTTTTTTTAAGCATGTATTTCAAAATAAAAGAAATGCTGTGTAAGTGAAACTTGCTTAAAGCTCTTGACCATTTCTGGCAGGAGACTTGTAATAGTTACATTGTTTCTTCATACTGATAGAATGCAAACAAAAGAATAAAATCTTTGTAGATTGCATTTAGGCTTCCCCCCCACCCCCCACCCCCCCTTTAAACTGGTTCATTGTATATAAGTCTGGTGCTATACCACATATGTACTAGCTGTTTCCAATTTTGGCTAAGTGACTGGGTTCTTTTCAAAATATTCATGCAGTGCTAGCAAAGTTTAATTCCAACTTCTATTCTGTGAATGAAACAAAACTAAATAGTAATTGTTAAAGGGATAGGTATAGGGGCTGAGAAAAGCTGTCCCCGTGGTACAAACATCACATTCTAAGTGTGGTAAATGTGTGTGTATGTATGTCTCTTCTCACTTAAGAATAAATCGTACCTAAAATTCAACATGTATTTCTCTGCTAGAAAATATGACCTGGATATACTTTATACTGAAGGTAAAGAGAAGTGAAGAAAAATAAAGCTACTGCATTAATTTAGAAAAATAGGATCTTGGCAGAACTTATTTATTGAGAATTACCTTTATCTGGTATCTGTCATATGTAGCTACTTCTTTGAAGTGGAGTCCTTGAAAACTGTGATCATCAGAATGGCTTTCTACTGATCCTGTGCATCCACATGACTCAGATTCTTCTAAAATCTAGTACTAGAATGTGAAAAAAGAGATCTTACAACTGCTTCAGTTTTGGAAGGAGTCTTAATCAGAACAGTCAATAAAATGCAAAAAGATACATCAGCTAAGTGAAAGCAATTGTCTGTGTTTATTCCCATCTGAATACTAGTGAAGAGATTTCACTTAAAGCACTATGCATGGCTACTACAATGAGTACTTTTTGATTTTGTCAGGGGGCAGAGGGGGATTCTTCAAAGAAGTGTTTAGTAGCTCTAAATAAAGTTTTTATCAGACAATCCAAGAATTTTAACTAGAAATTATGACTGTGAATTATAAATTCTGGAAGGTTAAGTTTTCTCTACTTAAAACAGCAAATGCAACAGATCTAACCCTGGAGTACGTTGGGCAACTGCACCACTTCTATCATCTCTTGTAGATGTTGTTTTCTTTCTTATCATTATTTGGAAGTGTCATAAATAAAATATCAAAATTCTGGCTCTTGAGGTATAAGTATTGAGGAAACGTGTTTTCCCTATATCTCCTCTTCCTATATTTACTGCTAGTTTCTTCTTTTTCTGCCCTGCCAATGTACTAATATTTCATTGTTGTTACAAGTTGTCTTTCTGATTGATAATGCAACAGAAATCATGCAAAGAGAAATGAGATTATTTTTTTGTATTTTCAGTTCCACTGTACATTTATTTCCTTGCTATCTCAAAGGAATCATTACTTATGAAATCCTTTAGTGTGACTGCACTTTCTCACTATAGTTAGTCACAGTGATTAAGGCAACCTATTATGTACCCACTATTGAAAAAACAGCAGCTCAAATAACTAGAGGCCTCCAACTTCTTGTGCTGAACTTCCCAGATTCAGTATTCTGCAAATACTTGTATGCATGTGTCTGTGCACGTAATGCAGGATTTATCTTGTACTATTTACGTAGATGTGCATCCTCCAAGTGTGAATTTCGGGTAAACTTTTGCTGCTTTAATTTCTACTATGTCTTTCCATGTAAGATAACAATGACAGGAAATGCCTCTACTGTAAATGTATATTTTACATATGTCAATTAGTGAAAATAGTGTTGAAGAGGACTATCTACTTTCAGAATTATTACAATTTTGTTTGTGACTTTGGAAAAAATGATGATTTCCTTGCTCCCTTGTCACAAAAGCTTGGCATGACAGGCTAGGAATTCTTTCTGCTTGATCATGAAAGCCATAGGAAACTAGAATTTACCTAGAACTTAATCACCTATGCTGACATCTCCTTTAAGTTAGTGAAAGTGTATGTAGGAATAGTAAGAGTCAGGAAGAGTTTAAGGGTGTTGTAATAACTGCTCACAAACCAAATTATGAATACCTGTGAGGGATCACAGACTTTGAAAGAAATGTCCAGTGTTTTAATATTATAGGCATAATCTTCATGTCTCCAAGTTGCAACATGTTCTAGTAGGAAACAGGGGAAATGATAGAAAAATTTGCAGCATATTTGCATCACTTTCTGCCACTTAATGTTCTTCATAATGCTCAGAGGGATGTGGCATAAGTACCAGATGATTTTTAAGAACAGAACTTTGAAAATAAAAATATTAGAATGTTTCAGAAATTATTATATGTTTGCCCATGTTAAATTATTAACAGATTTGAAACTATCAGCTTGATTAGCACAGAAGCAGTATTCTGATTTCTTTATCAGCATAATTTGTGCGCTCTCAGAAAATACATACTTCATGGAGATGGACTGGTGCTGATCTCATAACTGTAATATTGTTACTGATACTGCTTCAAAGACTCTGAATGGGAGATGGATTTATGATCTTTCATGTTGCATCTCCTCCTTTTCTGTACTCTGAAAACTATTGTAACAGCATAATTAGCAGGAAAATTAATCAGTGGCTGAAAGAAGTGGAAAAATAAATACAAAGAAAACAAAAAACCTCAGGGATTAACTACCAATTTAGTTAAGAGTTTTTGGAGATGCTAGGATGGTGTGCATGCACTTCACACAGAATAGACAGGTAGTATTTAAGTAGCCTCTAGTGCCTACAGTCCTGTGGGAATCTGTGAAGCCAAATGAGCAGTAATGTAGCAGTTGTGTGATTTACCTGCACAGAAGAGAAAAATGTGTAAAGGTGTGCATGTGCATGGGTGTTAGTAAAAGCCAGAGAGGGCATGACAGCTGTTATGGTAATAAGTTCATCTTACCTGGATTCATTTACTTGCCATGGATCAAGGTTGCAAGTGTTCACTTCCCTGTCATATAACAGAATTCAGCTGAAGAGAAATGAGTAATTTTTCTTGCACTTGTTGCCACAAAGCCTCTGTGAGGAATAACATAAAATCTAAGCATGACTTGATGTAAGTAATAGCTAGCATTTTCCCAAATTGTTTTTAAAATAAAATCAGAACATGAATTAGTGAAAAAACTCTTCTTAGTAGCAGGTTTGGTAAAATCAGTGTTAGGTATAATACTATTTTTCTACTTAAGAAATAAATTTTGAAATTGAAGGGAACTATTCTTCATGCTCAACTGGATTTTAAACATAGAGTGAACATGAACAATTTCTCCATGTCATACAAGCACATTATACACTTAAATAATTTTTCCTAATAAGTGCCTTATGCAAGTAATTCCTTCAGTAACCAAAATTGTTGTTACTTTTCTGCTCAAAGTCCTGAGTAACTTCTGTAACAATTAAGACCCTGAGGAGAGCACTTACTGATAGTCCCAGTTATCCTCACAAGCAGAATTCCAGATGTTCCTGTTTTGTTGTATGGAGTGGTTCTGTAATTGTTTGACAGCAAGGTTATGATTTGGCTATCTGATAATGTTGTATCTGTTGAAATACTTTCACTGTGGTTGTAGTGATGTGTATATACAGTATGAAAGAAACTATATTATAGATTGCAGTCTTTAAATGCATCCATATTGCTCAAGTGAGTGCAAGAAGCACTTGTATTTGAGGATATAGTAATGGAATCTTGAATCCCATGTAAGGGTGTGTGCGTGTGGAATTAGCTGTTGTCTAACGCAGCATATAAGGTAACATAGCCAATGATTTGAACTTGCCATTCATAGAATCATTTAGGTTGGAAAAGACCTTTACAATTGAGGTCCAACTCAGTTAGCATTGCCAAATCCACCACTAAACCATGTCCCTAAGCACCATGTCTACATGTCGTTTTAATATCTCCAGGGATGGTGACTCAACTTCTTCCCTGGGCAGCCTGTTCCAATGCTTGACAACCCTTTTGGTGAAAAAGTTTTTCCTAATATCCAATCTAAACCTCCCCTGCTGCAACTTGAGACCATTTCCTCTTGTTCTATCATTTACTTGGGAAAAGAGACTGACACCCACCTCACTACAACCTCCTCTAAGGTAGTTGTAGAGAGAGACAAAATATCCTCTGAGTCTCCTTTTCTCCAGGATAAACAACCCCTGTTCCCTCAAGTGGTCCTCATAGGGCTTGTTCTCTAGACCTGTCACCATCATGCTACCTGCTTTAGTGATAATTAGAGCAACACCATAGGGTGTGTGTTTGATGACGAGATCAACATGACCTGGCAGTGTGTGCTTGCAGCCCCAAAAGTCAACCATATCTTGGGTTGCATTAAGAGAAGTGTGGCCAGCAGGTTGAAGGAGGGGTTTCTCCCCTTCTGCTCTCATGAGACCCCACCTGCAGTGCTGTGTCCAGCTCTGGGGCCCCCAACATCAGAAGGACATGGACCTGGTGGAGCAGGTCCAGAGGAGGCCATGAGGATGCTCAGGGGGCTGGAACACCTCCCCTGTGAGGCCAGGCTGAGAGAGTTGGGGGTGTTGGAAAGGTCGGGAGGGACTCTTTATCAGGGAGTGGTGGGATAGTACGAGGGGTAATGGTTTTAAACTAAAAGAAGGTATATTTAGATCAGATATGAGGAAGAAATTCTTCCCTGTGAAGGTGGTGAGGCACTGGCCCAGGGTGCCCAGAGCAGCTGTGGCTGCCCCCTCCCTGGCAGGGTTCCAGGCCAGGTTGGAGGGGGCTTGGAGCAACCTGGTCGGGTGGAAGGTGTCCCTGCCCGTGGCAGGGGTTTGGAACTAGATGGTCTTTAGGGTCTCTTCCAACTCAAAAAATTCCATGATTTTATGATTATATTGCATATATAGAGGGGAAGAAGAAAGACCCATTTATGGAATTGTTTCTAGATGTTCAGCTCTGGTGTTTCTCTCACTGTTTCAATGAGGCTGTTTTTATAGGACACTAAAAGCTTAACAAAGCTTGGATTCATTAAAACTAAAGAATGTGAGAAAAACTTCAGTTGTGGTTATCCCCATCTTTTTGGTATTCTTTAAAAATATATTAACGACTGAATGTGTATGTGTTCAAATTTCTTGAACGTGTTCACGACTGAGATGGGGGCGGATTCTGGATTACTTCCACAGTTATTGAATTAAATGCTGTGGATATTCTGAGAGTTATCTTGGTTTAAATCACTACAGATCATTTAAATGATTTTAAATGCAATAGCAAGAAGTTGATCAAGGGCAGAAAACATCTCAGGTACGAGCTGTAACTGCCACTTGTGGCAGAAGAATTACCACCAAACATTAATTTATTTTCTATTCCCAAATGCTGTGTGGCCACTTTGCCTAATCTGTTTAGCCTGAAATTTTTTTTTTTTTTTTTTTTTTTACAAGATGTAGCAAAACAGGGCCTTGATTTCTGGTGATGATGATGTATTATTGTAATATAAAATTGCAGTCAAGATATAGTATACTGTTGACAGTTACAGCTCTTTTAGGATGAGAAAAATGGAGATGATGATTCTCAGATCCCTAGAATCCTACGTTGTTAGTGAAAGACTGGAGGGACTAACATGGGCTTAGGAGTATGGAGAAAAGGATCTTCTCTCCCTTCTGGGCATGTAGACTTCACTATTCACTTTGCTTTGTGGTCTAGGTTTATTACTAAATGCTCAAGCAAGCCTGGAGGCATTTCCTAAATGAGGCTGCAACTGTATAGCTTTTAAACACAATTAGTCCTGTTTTCTGCATACTGCATCAATTATAATGGAGTTTACTTGGCTATGTGAGAAAGGAAGGTGTGGGGGTTCATGAAACCAGACCCCTTCTTTCCCCACAGTGTGGTGGAACAGCTGCATCTTAATGTGGCCCTTTGGCAGCAGCATGTACTGCTTCAGATTCTTAAAAGGGGGGCTGCTGGAAAAAAAAAAAAAAAAAAGTAAAATCATTTCAACAGCAGAGAAATGATAGTTTACACCACCTGATGTAAGACTCCTTCACAGTAGAAAAAATACTGAACTGGGCTGTGCTTTGTGTAATACTGACATGATAGTTTGGTCCAGTATGTTTCTTCCACACAGCAATCTTCTGAGGCTTGTTGTCTTCTGTATAACATAGACTTGAGAGAAAGCAGTCCTATCACAACTATTACTAATACTAAAAAAAAAGTGCCTGAAGAAAATTGCTCTTCACAGGAATAAGAACAAATTAAAATGTATTTAACAAAGCAGTAAAACTGATATGTTACCATTTAAAAAAGTAACAACAATGAAGACAAAACACCTAAGAACCACCTTAAGGAAAACCCCCTTTGTTAGGTTACAAGCACAAGGAAACTGTTGGCCTGTTTTGAACAGCAGTGTTTTTATAACATGCTTTTGTTGGATCACAACCTTCTCTCTTTTCTCTGCTTGATCTAAAAGTCCAACTGTGTTAATTTAACAAATTAGTATAATGCATTAAGCTTGTAATATGATTAAAGGTATTACTAGAACTTTATAGAAAGAATGTTTTTTTCTCATTCTGTTAGGAGTTTTCCCCTGCAATTGCAGATGTATACAAAACTGTAACTATATCTGGTTGAAAATTTAATTGATTTTTTTATTTTCCCCCTGTGGGGAAAATGGAAGATGTTTTGAAGAATTATACTTTTCAGTGGACATTTCTGGGAAGGCCTTTTGCATGAGGAAAAGAAAAAAGACCCATTGCTATCCCAGAATGGTTGATAGCCTGGTGGTTTTGGTGTGCCTCTGGAATGTCAGAGCTCTGTTATTGTTGGAGAAGGGCCTGGAAACCTGGGTTTCCGATACTCTGTGTAAAATGATCAGACTCTGTCTTGGTTATCAGACTACTATCCATCTGGAAAGTGATGATGCTGCCTAGTTTTTCTCCTCCTCTTTTTTTTGCTATAACCTCCTTTCCCCAAATGAAAATGAGAATAATATAGACATACCTGTCTTTAACACAGAATAAAAAATTGCAAAATCTCTTTTTCTCTGAGAAATAGATGTTCTTTTCTAATCAGTCTTAACAATGGATTTATGCATTACTGTTCATGTTGTCTACTAAAGAAAAAACTAGAATACTGATATAGAGCTTGTCCTTAGCGGTGAAAAGAAACAACTGTACATATATGGAGAGAAAGGTACTATAGCTGTGGCTGGAGCAATGGAAAATTCTTGCATTTATTCCACTGAGTCTTGCAAAGAATCATCTTCCTGTCTGTACACTTGTATATGTACTTAATATTTTGCTTTATTTATTCATAGTGAAAACTAGAACTAATGATGATGTGAGGGCTGCTTAAAAAAAAAAAAAAAAAAAGGGGGGAAAAAAAAATAAAGAAAACAGGAAAAAACATGTGAGGAAAAAAATCCTGTTCATAAAGCCAAAGTGACTCTTTATGGAAGAACAGAAAATAACCAATTTGATATATCTGAACCTCTCTTTTCCAGTCATACAAAAGCATGCGAAAACTTAGTTTAATTTTATTGTTGACTATTACAGCATCTCTTTTGAAGTATAAATTCTAACAAATCAGTAAAGCGTATTTCAAAAAGTTCAGCATGCATGCTAAGATATTACAGGTTATTTTATGTACTTGAACACAGGTATGTCTGATTTGCTTTAAAGCTTCTATCAGTGGGGAAAGAAAGGTGATGGTTGGATCATGCTCCCATAGGATGCACCTCATTTTCAGTACTTAAATATGTTTTTGGGTGTACTTCTGAATCATTACTTTACCAAAAGAAACAGACGTTGTTATCCATCTCCAGATGGGTTTCTACCTTGTTCAAGGGTTGGTGTTTTTCTTCTTTATTCTTTAAAAAAAGATAATTTTTAATTAGTCTGCTTTCCAGATAAGCTCCTCTTCATTTTTAGTTCAAGGGAATGAGATGACATAACACTGAGGTATATTTGATCTTTTTGAAATATTTCAGTCTTTAAAAACTTAGTGCTGTAACTTTCTCTTGAAAGGCTGCTGTGATATTCAGATGTTTGTTGGCTGGACTTGAAAGTATGCTTTGGATACTGTTTAGAAAAATCTAGTGCCCCATAAGTGCAATACACGATAAAAGGAAGTAATGCTCAAGACCTATTGTGTGTGGATTGCTGCAAACTGCTTTTTCTCCTAATGCTTTCAACTTGCTGACCTGGATAAAAGGTTATTTCTACATTTTATTCATTATCCATGTGTAATGCTTTATTTCAGGTCCTTTTTGGTTTTGCTTTGACCTGTTTTTACAGTTTTTAGTGCTGCCTGTTTAACACATGTGCAGTGAACAGCTGCACTACTGAGTGCCTGCAGATGTTGTGAGCCAGTATGATTTTTATAACTACCTCTATGATGTTCAGTCATGGAAGCCTTGATTTAGGAAAAAGAAATCATATTCAGTCATGGATGTCTTTTAAATGTCCTGACCTAGACCTAGAAAAAAACAGTATGGTATTTTCTGGCACTCTGTACTGAGCTGTCTGGGATGGTTTTCTTCTGAGGCTCCTAAACACATCAGATAAAGTTTGGAGCCATCCAGTAATTGCATGTTCCAAGTTCCTTTTCATATCTACAGCAATCCTGTTAATGTTACCTCTTTTAAAGCTCTTTGTTAGTAAATATCATCAGATAAAAGGCTACACACTCTGGATTTCTGCTCTGTAAAAGTCCGTTAAATAAACACAGTATTACCAGCTGACTGATTTCTGAGCTCAGTTTTACTGAGGGTTTTAGTGGGCTGTTAACAACTACAGCTATGGCTTTTTTGACTTCCTGATTTGGGTGGAATTTTGCTTATCAGATCACCTCTGTTTTCCTGATTACTTCACGTATGAACTTGGCCTAAAGGACAGCCATGTCTAACTACATTTGCTTTATTAGGAGTTCAGAATACTTTCTAAAATTATTTTCAGATCAATGGGAATTCCACTGTTGAAATAGTGGCCATGACTCTACTATTTTGTACCTGTACTTTGGTATAAGAGTTTAATATATTTAAAATTCATAATTGAGTTTCAAGATGAATTTCAGAAAGACAAACCTTAACCAGACCCGTATTGGTGTGCCTTATCTGGGAATTAAGTTGAATGTTAGTACTGTACCATAGTGTGTATATCTGGAGGGGGGAATTGAATGGTATTGGCAGTCTTTCACATGGGTGTGCTATGCAGTTGTTTGCAGGACTTAGTATCTTTGCATAGGTTTCAGCTGGGTTTCTTCTCCTTCCCCTGGAAAAGTGTTTTCTGTGGTGTGTCCTAGACCTCTTTCATTTCTCCCATCTCTACCATCAAATCACTGTATCATAAGTATATATGCAGGACTTTTTTTTCTTTTGATGGCAGTTGCTAAATATTGCTGCCAAGTTTGTCGAGTCAGAAATATAATCAACTCTCTACACAGAGTTTTTTAGAGCCTGAGATTGAGAAGAAAATAACAAAATTGGCACTGCTGGTGTAGTTGCAATGAAGTGTTTTCTAGGGGAAAGAATAGTCACAATAAAGCTAAGACTTGTCAGTCCTATTCTCTGTGCTGGTGCACAGCACTTTTTTTTTTTTTTTTTTTTTTTGTCCCTTCCTTGTGCCCTACGAAAAAACCTTGGCTGCAGGCCTCTCCAGTTTTGGGGAATTAGAAATATAAAGATTTAATATTCACTCTTTAAAAGTAATTTTCTAGCTGTTTTCCTTGCTAAGGTAGAATGGAAACCATAAGTTAATGATAAATGTCAACTAACTGCTAGACTTGAAAGAACCAACAGCTGGCTTCTGCCTATGAAGCATAGAAACTGCGTGGGAGGAGATGTGAAGAACCTCCTCAGATACCCACTCTAACAGAGGGACTGGGGGGGGGGGGGGAGACTACTGAATATGGGACTTAATCTTTAGCATTCTTTTGCTGTTCTCTCATATTCTTAGATTTGCAATAAAATTCAAAATGGCAATCAATTTGTTTCAGATAAATGTATCGGACAAAGGCCTTGTGCCACTTAATTTTCATTTCATGTAAGAATTGGGGCACTTAATTTGCCTGTATCAATTTTATGTCTGTAAAAGATTTATGGTATGAATCTCAAATATTTTTGAAATTTATTTAATGAATAATTGTTTGCAAAGAGCTTGAGTGTGTCTCAAATCAGATGCAACGTTTCAATTCAGCAATGTTATTAACAACATGGTCAGGGTAGTGCTGAAATAGCAGCACTTAAAAAATGCATCTACCACAAATCTAAAATGAGGGGTTTGTTTTGAGTACAAATAAACATAGGGGAAATAGATTGGCTGATATTCATTCATGATGTATAAACTGAGATCAAAAATATTCCACAGGTTTATGCTAATATAAATTGAGACAAATTCTAGGTTGGCAACACTGATCTAAAAGCTGTCTAGGCAAGGCAACTAACATTTCTTCTTCTAATAGGAAGTCCATACCTGCTGTTGAGGAAAGACAAAGGGTTGTTTTGGAGCATTTTTGTTGGTTTTTAAGTAATTTATTTTTACACTAATTCACAGTTCCTTCATTAGGTTTCTGATATGGAATACAATATACAGCCTCATTAGTCATAGCACAGTGACTTTAAACATTTTTTTAAAGATTCAGGGTAAACAGACTAGAAAATGAAGAAAGAAGTCTTTCCTGAAAATAATGACAAGCCACTTAATCAGTGTATCTGAAAAATGTGGTGGCAATCTGTCTGGTTTGTAATCGGAGAACTTTCTGTATCTAGATGCTGATTTTACTGGGCAGATGAAACAGCTCTCAAGGAATGGTAAATATTGCTCGGTATGAGAAGATTGTTTTTACATGTTTGATGAACAACTCTTATATACAAAAAAAAAAAAAGTGTAGAACTGCAACTCTGTTATTTCACCTGCTTTTCTTTTAGAAGTGTCTTTTATTGTTTACTGACAACTCCCACTATGGAGCACTTGTCCACAGTCCCAGGAATTACTATTAACTCCCCAAGATGGGGGTGGGAAATTAGAACTGGTGAGCAAGGGCTGGAAGGGTACCAGCTGGAGGATATTTGTGACAGATAAGAATAACAGGAAGAGAGAGAGAGAGAAAAAATGGTCAGCACTTTTGGCTTTTTAAAAGTGGGGTGCAGATGACTTGCTGTTATGTTTTTGCAATGTCTTGTTTCCAGACTGCTGGCTTAGTCAGCTACATCTTTAATTTGCTCAGTCTATAACAGCTGCTTCTGCTGGTACCACAGAAAGTGAAATTATAGTTTCCAAGCTTTCATTTCATCCCTCTTACCTATAATCCTCAAGTTCCAGTCTGTCTGACCACTTGACTAGGCTTTTTTAATTAGCAGGTCTTTTTGGGGGCCCTTAAATATGTTTTACATACACAGAAAAACTAAAGAGCCTTGGAAACTCTTGATGAGATGAAAAACATCCTGCTGGGAATATAAAATGGTGCATCGTGCCTAGAATAATTTCCATAATTGAGATTTTCATGTGCTGTGTTAGAAGAAATGACTTAGCTGGGGTCTTTTTCTTATGAAGAGAAAAAAAAAATATTTAGTCATTTAAAAATTTGTCTGTTTAATTCAGTCTCTGCACTGTTTTGTTGATTCCTCTGAAGAAGACTAATGGGTTTGGCATGAAATACACAGAAAGCCTGAGATGATAAACAGCATTCAAATATTTCTGTGCAATCTGTGGTTCTGAGGTACTTACTTGATTTGTCCAAATGAGGCAGGTGGAGTTCCGTAATGATCTTTTCATTGTACCTGAGGCCACTGTGCTGCCTGATCGTTTGGCTGAGGTGATACATTGTTAATGAAGTGCTAATAAACAGCATGATTTGGGAAGGTACACTATTCTGTAGAAAGCAGTGGCTCTCACTGCTGCAAGTATCTCAATGTAATCGAAGAAAACAGCTTGTTTTAATCATTTGCTAATTGTATGGCACAACCAACTAATCTCTGGGATGTACCTTGGAGACCTGATAACATGTTCCATCGACTTCTGCGGAATCAACACAGATGATGTTGGTCAAATTGCCCTCAGTTCACTTCATTTTCTGGTCTGTAGCTCTGATGATTTGTCTAGAAGACAAAGAAATAAAGGATTTTGTGTGATAGTTTAGGATATGCTCAACAGATTAGCCAATAATTGGTCTTCACATTACTCAAGGAAAAATTGTTAGTGCCACTATAAAGGTCTGAGTGTTTTTATACTGATTGTACTAATTATTTTCTTTGGATTTTCAGGTAAAATAGGTTGTGCCTCAAGTTAGCTCTGAGTGAAATTAGGTTATACAGAATACTAAACTGAGACACAGTACTGTGAATAAACCTTATATTTTCAATAATTTAAACACTATGAATACATAGGTCCATGGTATTTTGTTTCATGCTGTTCTAGTTTGCTGTTCTTATGAGATTATTCAGACATATAGAATGATAAAAATTTGCCAGAAAATTAGTTCTGTGTTTATTTTTCAGTGCTACAGATAAGTGTTGATAAGATCCTTCTCTGAAAACTCAAATATTAAACACTCATACACTGGTCTTTTTTCATAATGTAGTTTTGAATTCATTTTCTGTTTTAAAAATAATCCCACTTAACTACTCAAATACAGATCTAGGTAGTAGCCCGATCTTTATTGATGTACCATCTAACAATCCTGATGAAATCTGCAAAAATCCTGCAGTTTTTCAGTAGCTCTGAAACTTGTTCCAACCTTAGCTGGCAATGTTCAAAGGCACCCAAGGAACTATATAAATGACTGTCACCTGTGCCTGAAGTACAGTTGGTTAGGTGATGGGATTCCCCATTTCAGGACTGAAATGCCAGGGTTCAAGTGTTGAATATTTGAGTTGTTTGTTAAAGCCACTTTATTAAATTGGACTCATGTAAATAAGTCTAGTATCAAGTAAGTATGGTATATTAAATCTAAAAATAAATCTTTTCAAATCTATACTTTTCAATGGTCTAGTGATTACTTTTTGAAGAGCAAAATACTGCAAAATACTGTAATTCTACAACATATGCTTAAAAAGACTGGTCTGTAGTATTAACATTAATGCAGTTTTATGGAAGACATTTTGAGAATTTTGGATCCATCTTGTTTAGTTGCACCTTCTCCATTACGATTAATGGAGGAACATGAAAGTTTGAATTCTTCAAATAGCTTTGAAAAATCTCTCATTCGTTATTTGTCTATTTTACAGAACATGAAAAAAACCCCTGTCACCCCTCAGGGAATTAAAGCACAGTGCTTTAATTACATAATTCCCATTAATGCGAATAAATTTTATGCTAAAGACCTATGCTGTACCAGTGCCAACGAAAACATAAGTCTTCTTCCTTTTCAAACCCTGTGCCACATATTGCCTGGACATGAGGTCATTAAAGTGAAATTGGTTGAAACGACAGGTATTAGACAAAGATGCAATATTTCATTTTGACTTTCAATGACTTTTATAGGTTGAAATAATTCTAGGATTTGATCTTCAAGTAATTTTTAAAAGCATTCAAATACGAATGGTGTTAGCCGAGCAGAGGGAGGGAACAGGCCACTATATATGTGAAATCAAGTGATTATATTTTTCAACTGCTGCAAAGTTTCTATAATTTGATATGACTTGAGTTTTCTCTCAAAAGATTCCTTTGTAATGGGAGTCTAAAGAATGAGTTTACCAGCTGTATAAGAGAAAGCATGTTTTTAACTATTCATAAATCTTGTTTTATTTCATTTTCTGCTGTGTATATCTCACCTAGTTGATAATTGCAGCCCTTCTTTCTTTTTTCTTTTTTTTTTTTTAGCTCTGCTGTTAGTAGTCCTTTCAGAATTTGACCCCAGAACTAAGTCTCCTTCTCTTGGGTTATTTCTGGAAATCAGGCAATCAAATCACTCTTGATCTGTATTAAACTGCATTAGTTAAACTTTCTACAGGTGGAGTACAGGAACAAGTTGGGATCCACGTCTAAGAATTTGAAGGAAAAAAGAATGTATCAAAGGATCAAACTGGTAGATGCAGGCTTTTTCACATCTCTATATTGAGCCAACATTTAGGATCCCTTTATGCTAATGAAATGAAAATATGATGGTGGTTTGGTCTGGTTGAGAATGGAGACCGATTGGGAATAGTTGTGCACCAGGAGGATAGCATTTTATCAGAGCAGATCAGGGCATTGTGTGTCAGCAGGAACATGAGATGAGGAGGTGATGAGTGATGGTTGAATGGTAAAATGCATTTAAAAAACAAAAAAGGATTTAGATACTCTCTGACTATGAAAATTTAAAAAATGCCTAGATTTATCAAGTGAGAAGATAGTGGGATCGGCCAAAGAGATATGAAGAATAAATTCAGTGAAAAATAAATGTAAACTTGTAACTAAATGTATAATGTCAAGGTTTGTTCTCATCTTCCCTGTCCTTAACCTCAGATGTAATAAGAATAGGGTTGTTTCTCAGTATAATCTTTGTTTATTCATATATTGTTCTAGGCTATCCCAGTCCCTGTATAATGATCAGTGGTGATATCCTGAAGTGGTTTTATTAGTTAGTCAAAGGATTACAAGCCCTTTCTTCCTCAAGGCTATCAAGAGAGCATCCTTCAGTAGCAGACAGAAGGAGAGAGCAAGGCCTGTGAGGCAGTATGTGGGTTCAGAGTGAGAACTGTGCTACATCTTCATGGCCTGGGTCTGGGTGGGTGAGAAGATGCCCCAGTGTGTGGCTGGGCTGCAGGGAGTGGGAGGAGAGAATGGAGAGCTGTGCTCAGTGCCTGCTCTGCATTCTGCTGGGCAGGGGCCCCTGGGAGCCCTCTTGCAGAGAGCTCTCAGTGGTTGTATTTTACCCTCAATCACAAACCTGTCAATTCAGGGCACTAATCGCTATTTTTAGTGTTTTCATTACACAATGTTTTCTATGTTCTGTTTACACTGCATTAGTGTTTCTGATGAAAGACTGGAAGACTTGGGCTGAATTTGGGTGACTCTGCCACCAGATATGTAGAAACAGCCTCACACAAAAGAAAAAAGGGCTATTACAAGCAGAGGGTTTGTAAGAATGATGAGCAGTAATTACCAGAGCTAGGAGCATTTTGAAAACCTTACTGATGACTAAGCCTGCATTTTACACCTTTACTTCCCAAATTCCCAGTCTGATAGGATCTCATGTTATTTTTAACAGTAACTACCTTTGCCATTGAGTCCTAATGGATTGGAACCATGTTTAAAATAACTGATAGTTTCTCATCTTATATGATGTTATTTTTAATATCCTCTGTATCTTTAAATTATTGAGAAACTTGAATTGACCCAAATCTTCCCACCATCAGTTGCATTTTTCCCCAACTTTCTGACTAGTTTCAAAGAGAAATCATGTTCTTGCCTTTTCTTCTGCTCTGCTTGCTTGTGTTCACCTCGCTGCTGATCTCCTTGCTCACAGGCAGACCCATTCCAGCTCACTGATGAGTGCCAGTCATGATAGTGTAAGAAGCCAAAAGTAGTAAACTTGCTATGAAAAGCTTGCAAACTTGGAAGTGCTTAGGTGCCAGGGTTTTAAACTCATTGCAACTTTATTAATGATACCCTGGGGGAAGAATCTTTTAATAGTAAACAGATTGAAACAGATTTGAGCTAAAAAAGCTGTATTTGCTTTGTTTTGGTCGCATGTGTACTACAGCATTATCAGGAGATGATTTAGAGCAACCGCGGTGAACTCTTAGCTTGGATCATGTTGAACTGAAGGTTCTTCATGACTGAAAATGTTTTTCCTGCTTTGTGGGAGCTTCACCCCTCCCATCCCCTGTAGTACTTTGCAGTTTAAAGAGAGCTGTGTGTTAAACAGCATTTGTTGAGCTTACTGAATAATCAAATATGATTTCCTTTTTTTTTTTTTTTTCTGAAACATTTATTCCTGCTCTGCTTTTGAAATGACACACGTGCCAGCGTGCTATTCTTCTCCCTGGTAGTTTCTGCATGAAATCTATTTTCCTTGAGAAAATGGAATCTTTGTGTCTTTGTCTCCTCGCTAGCTTTCAGGCATGTTTTGGCAGGAGCTCCGACTGTCGAGGCACTGGAGAGGAGGGGCCTTGCACTCATTTGTCAGCTTTTCTTGCATCTGTAATTTTTGTCCACTCAGCAGTACTGCAGGGGCTTAAAAAAGGGGGAGAGCTTGTAGCTGTTGAAAGTCAAACTCTTGAAATAATTGCCAGACTGTAACAGTTTGGGGAAGGCGGGGGGGGGGGTGAGGGGGAGAACTAGAAATGTTTTGGCTAAAACCAGCTTTAGGTTTAATGTTATAGTAACTCTCCATTTCATGTAATTACATGCCTTATCTCCATATATCTGTACAGGCAATGGTACTGTGTTTATAGGTTTGTTTATGGCATGTTGATAAACTTTTTTTAATGGTGATGAAATTTATTTCACTGGTGTTCAAGATCTGGTTGCTTCCAACCAACAACTTAATTTGAAGCATTTAAAGTCTTCTCTAACTTTTGTCCTAGTCCTCCACTACAGTCTTCCTTTGCAGGCCATGTGCTTTCATCTCCTTGTGTAATGTAACCAAACAGAAATTTTTTAATTTTTATTTTTTTTTAGAAGACATATCCCTTCGTACTAAAGAAAGCGGTTTTCTTCTTCAGCTTTTTATGGAATATTAACGTTGATCTCTCCTCATTTCAGTAGGCTATTTAAGCTCAGGGCTCATACTGTGAGCTGTTAATTAATCAGTGTGACAGATGAAGAAAGTATCCAACTATGAAAGAAAACCTTAATTCAGTGACTAACAATAAGGATGTGAGCCCGAGTGATTTAAAGGATTTTTTTTTTTTTTGTGAATGTGTGATAAGGAGACTTAAGCTGTTTGAGGTAACAATGTTGTTTTCACTCAGTTTGTGTCTCTGCACAAACATTAAAGGGCTCATCAATATTTTGTCTTGAAAAGTCTAGACAGGAGTTAAAAGAGCCTCTCCTACAGTTTGAAGAGATCCTGTTTGCCATAATTAATAACAGGAAGCAAGTAAATAAGGCTTTACTGACAAATGAAACTGCAACAGTAAGGTGTACCCAGAAACATTAGCTCCTAGCTGAG